GAGTGTGAGTGTGTGTGTGTGTGTGAGTGTGTGTGTGTGTGTGTGTGCGTGTGAGAGTGTGTGTGTGTGTCTGTGTATGTGTGTGTGTGTATATAATTGAGCTAATGAATGGGTCTCTAAAGCCGAGCGCTTCCTTGATCCGTCAATATCTGATCAATCACTTTGATCTCAGGAGCGTCAGCATAAAATATGAGAGAAAGAAAGATGAGAATATCAGAGAGGAGAAAAAACTGCAGTCTTTTCTTTATCTTTTCTATCTTTTGTTCTGTATTGAGTGATACAGACAAATCACATCAGTTTTTATTTAATTAAATTTTTTCATTTTAACAAAACTCAGTGATTGGAGATCTTTAACCTTTAGGAAATGTTCCAAAGGCCAGATGATGGTTTGTAGTTAATTATAAAAAAAATATTTTTTTCCCCATAAATTAGGGAAAAAGTTGGGGGTTTTTTTTCTGTGTAAAAGGCTTATTTATCTTTCAATCATGCTGTAGAAATAGTTTAAAGAAAGAGCTAAACATTGTATTTTTGGTCAAATAAAAAATATTTTTTAAATATATTATTTAAATATATATATTTATATATACATTCTATATATACATTCTGAATATATGATTTTATACAATAGTAGTTCAATAAACCATAAGTTAAAATTAAGTGACTTACATTTCAGACACAATATTGACTGTTTTTGCTATTTCGCTGACGAATATAGTTCCAATCAAAGCCACAGCAGAACTGTTTTGTGTCTCCGAGCAACACAGCGGTGTTTCGTTACTGAATGAATCCACGTTTTTGAATGAATCAAGTGAATCAATGATTCAGTAACCCATTCATAAAGACAGTAGTCACTTGCCTCGTCTCTGAATGAATCAGCCGTTTGAACGAATTAATGGGCTAAATGACTCGCTCATTAAAACTATTATTTGTCATTTGCCGCCACCTACTGGTTTGGTTTCGTATTTAAAACTATTATTGCATTTTTCCCAACATTTCTTATTTTTTGTTTAAAAAATATTTAAAACATTAATCTTATAAAATTCTTTATGCATTCGAAATTTTGCAGTGTAAATGCATTTATGGCACCTCAGCTTCATCAAACAGTCTGTGTAAATACATCTAATGCCACTTCAGATGCAGCTTCTGTGTTTGCTGCAGTGGAAAGATGGAGTTTGTTCATACTGATTTCATTTGAATGGTACCAGCTCTACAGTTTCTTATTATTACACATTTAATAAGGTTAGTGAAAAAAAATGACAATTTAAGAAACAGTGGGAAATGACATCTGTTTTGTTATATACAGCAACTCCTTTTCAGTTAATTGTTATTTCTACCTCTTTTCTAGTTACAGAGCACTTTATTTGGAGAGTTGTTTAAGTGAGAAAACATCTGTAACTTCGTCCAGATTGGGGGAATTGTAATGCTTAATAATTTTTTTATTATGTAAATAATTTTTTTGCATTAAAAAAAAAAGTATAGATTTTTGTTTGTGTATGCTATCAATTATAGTTTTTAGAAAGAAAATCGGAATCGGCAAAAATCGGTCACACTTACAAGAAAATCGGACAAGAAAATTGCAATCGGTGCATCTCTAGTAGAAACATCCTCTTACCTTATTTTGGTTTACCTTTGTCAGATTACAAACATATAATTTCCTTTTACACTGTCAAAAAAGGTCCTGGTCGAGGTCTAAGTGTGATCACATAGGGCCTAACATCAGTAATAGGGATGTCAATTTTCGATAATTTCGTCTAAATAAAGGCTAGAAAAGGGTGTGATTAATTATATTTACATTTTTTATCTACTGACAGCCCTAATATATATATATATATATATATATATATATATTTAAAATGAAAATAAAATGGATTGAGATCATCTTCAATATAAATATATCTTCCCATCATGATGAGTCTAAAGGAGTAGCTAAATTAAATGGGTAATTTAGATAAAAAATAAAAATAAAAATAAACATTCAACATTTGAAATGGATCAAAACCTTTCATCAAAGTTGTCCTAAAACCAAAATGTGTTCTTGTTTTAGGACAACTTTGATGAACTTTTTTGATCCGCTTAAAATGTTGACTACTGTATATATAGCAAACGTTTTGATATGTTTAAAACTAGCTACACATCATGTTAAGGTAATTGAATGCTATATAATAATTAATTTAGCCAGCAGATTCTATTTCTTGTCTCTGGTCTAATTGAAACCATCATCTTCTGAACTGCACTTGTACAAATTCCATAAAACAGTTCATCACATCACGCGCATCACTTCCTGTCTCTCTCTCTCTCTCTCTCTCAAACTAAAGGTCTTCGAATGCCGCTAAACAGATTTGCCGTTTCAAAAGCAGATAACATTGCCCTGCATCAGTCTGGAGGTCAAAGAAGAAACATCATCTTCATCATCATCATCATCGTTCCACTCAAGACTCACATACACGCCACACGTTATCACGGATGAAAAATGAGCGCCATTTGGCTCTAATGGCATTAGCACGCACTCCACGCAGACATATTTGTACTCATAATAAATTTTTTCCGGCTCGGGTTTCGTCTTAACGAGCGGGTCAGGCTGGACGGTAAGCTGGTTTGCGGGCGTTTGGGTGCGGAGGTGAAGGCCCAGACGAATGGGTTTCCTCTTACGGTTGGAGGTCTCCACCATCCTGAGGACGAGACATCATTACATCATATTAATGGGCTCCAATCGCATTACAGCCTGCCTCTCATCTGTCAGGGGAAACGCCGGCGCGATGAGGAGAATCTGGAGAAAGCATCAAGCAGCTGTGAAGGGTTTCAGAACTGATTCAGGACCGTTGAGTCTCTGAACAACTAACCAATGCTGCTTATGGAGAGCGTTTCAAAACCCCTGCAGACTAACCTAGGGTCTTATGATATCGGTTTTAGGTTTGCTCAAATTCTTTTTTTCTATTTTAATATTTCTAGATTCTGTTTTCTAGATTTTAAATTTTTCTGAATTCCATTTTAATGGTTAAACAAAAACGTAGTAATCAAAGATCATGTCTAATTAACTGACATCATAAAACTTACACCATTCAACAACTATTTATTTTATTTATTTATTTTGAAAAAAAAAAAAATTATTTCATTTCCATTTCATTAAAGGGGTCATATGATGCGATTTCTATTTTTCCTTTTCTTTAGTGTGTTATGTAGCTATTTGTGCATGTATAAGATCTGCAGAGTTACAAAGCTCAAAGTCTCCCACAAAAGGATTTATTCTATCTAAAAGAGAAGGCTGATCCAGACTGGGCTAAAACGCCTCATTCAAACACGCCCCCAATGTTTAATGCTTTTTGAACATTAAAGCATGTCAGCATATTCTGTTACACAAATACACAAAATAATGATCTTTAAAATAGCATCATATGACCCCTTTAAATTTTCCTGGATTCACTTTTTAATGGTTAAATTAAATGTAATAATAATAATAAAAAAACAAGTCTAATTAATCAAAATCATGAAACAAACATTTTGATATGAAATCCATTTTTATTTTTTCTCAAATTCGGGGTTTTCTGCTATAATTTTTCTGGATTTTGTTTTTTTCCATTTGAAATTTTCTGGATTCCATTTTCATGGTTAAGTAAACTTTAATAATAAAAAAGCATGTCTAATAATTTGAAATTATAAAGCGTACACAATTTTATAACAATTTGTTAATTTTTTTTCTTCACATTTTTAGGGCCCTATGAAATCCATTTATTTTTTCCCAAATTCCAGGTTTTCTGCTTACATTTTCCTGTATTGCGTTATATATAATATAATATAATATATATATTCTGGTTTCCGTTTTATGGCTAAATTAAATTTTAGTACTCAAAAGGCATGTCTAATTCATTAATCTTTTTGAAATTCCATTTTAAAGGTGCCATTTTAATAATTTATAATAATATAAATTTTTTACATTTGTAAATGTAATAATCAAAAGGCATGTCAAATCAACTGAATTCATAAAACTTGAACAGTATGTTTAACTTTTTCAGTAATTCTGTGTTGTGTTTTAATTTTTCTGGATTCATGATTTAAATCCAAATTTATTTTCAAAAACGATGGTTAGTAAATGAAGGCAATCAAAGTGCTTCACAACAGAGGTTTACTGTTAAAATATGGAAGAAAAAATTGTGATTTGTGAAAATTGTGTGTCTCATTACACTGAGGAGTACTGCACAATACTAATATACTTCTGTCATAATTTCTTCAAGTTAAACCAAACTTTTATTTTGACGGGTTGTACTGAAGATCTCTGAGTTTCTGACGGTAGTTTTTCCCAAATGTACAGGTGGAAACTGGTGACTCTCAGATCTCTCTGGAGATGAAGTTCATGATTTGAGATTTAATTAACAGCCCAACTTTTGATTTATTCATCTAAAATACACCAAATTCCCTGAGATTCTGTGTTGTACAGTAAAAAAAGTGTGCATCTCACTTGGACAGCTGCTTCTCGGCGTCGGCGCAGAGCTCCAGCAGACCCATGAGAACCGCCGACACGTCCATATATGGCTCCCACACCGTGAAGCCTCGGCCGATCAGATCGATGGCTGTGCGCCGGATGGTGCTGTGGGCCGGCAGCTTGGGACTGGGCGGCTGGAGGAGGAGGAACGTCAGGGCTTTACCTGAGAGACAGAGAGACAGACGGTTATTAATATCCATATTGACCGGAGCTGTTATCAGGACCGTCTGCAGGTGGAAATATTGATGCTCAGCTAATACAGCATCAGTCACTACTACTACACACATCAACATAATGTCACATGCATCTGAACACGCTAGAAATTTGAGTGTCAAAATCTAAATCTAAAGCCAAAAATAATCCAAAGTAAAAGTTTTTTCTTACTTTTGTACACAGAATTGTGTACAAAAAATAAATCTAACAAGGAAATCAGTAAGTTAAGTAAATAAAAATACAGAAAGCAAATATTAAAACAATTTAAATAAAACATTTTTAAAATAAAAAAATATGTAAAAAATTAAATAAACCACATTTTATGTATATTATAATATTTATATATATATATTATTATATATCTAAAAAGCAAATGTGGAAAAATACATATTTTTCATTTAGGTGCTGGGATCTAGAAATGACAAGCCAAACCTTAAGAAAACCTTAAGATAAAAAATAGAGAAATAGAGAAAATAGAGAAATAGTACGGTGTAAAAAGAAGAAATCTTTCCGATTTGCCACTATTTCTGGGTCACAAATAAAACACATTAATTCCAGATAGAGTAAATCAGTAAGTTAAAAAAAATAGTTAAAAAGTTAGAATAGTTAAATACTTAAAAAAAGCAAAAAATATTTGAAAATATATATAAAAAATTATATATATATAAATGTGGAAAAAATATTATTTTTCCATCTATTATCTGGATTTATTATCTTTCCATTTATTATCAGTTTTAAATGCTTTCACACTGCAGACACGTTTGCTGCATTAGTGCGCGCCTCTATTTAATCATGTCACGTCATTGTTCAGTACAATTTATTAGTTTTTTTCGCTTATTCAAAATGCAATTTCGGTTGCTGAACATTCGGTGCATCCCTAGAAATTAATTGATTAATTAAACACATTAATTCCAGTATGCCTGATTATTTTTGATTTTGTAATTGTAATTAAATCACTAACCAACCAACTAATGAGCAAATCAGTAAGTTAAGTAAATAATAAATAACCAAAACAAAGAAAAAAACAGAAATATATATATAACAATTACATAATAAATATTTAAAATAAAAAATATGTAAAAATATTTTTACAATTACAAAAAATACAAATAAATGCAGATTTTTTTTCTCCATTTAGGGGCTGGGATCTGGAAAAGACTATTCAAACCGAGTTTAAGTTTAGCAGAAAACCTTAAAAATGCTCCCTTTTCAACAGAAGTCAGTGAATTGAGGTCACATGGTGTTGAACACAAACCCCAAAGCGGTCAGTGTGTGTCTGAATGTGTCTATCCATCAGCGGAGCTCTAACGAGGGGCTCCTTCACTCCACTGCAGGCCTCTATTAGTGCACAACAGCCGCACATGCTGTCTCCATGGCAACGGTCAATATGTGTGGGAGGGTGAAGGGGGAGAGGTCAGCACATGTGACCCGACACACACACACACACACACACACACAATAAATCTGTGGCACATCAGCTGATCTGATCAATGTTTATGTTGTTTGTTATAGATCAGCTGCTTAATAATCACACACACAATGATCGTCTGGATTTATCTGCTCGCGAGCTTGTGGCCACGGCAACAGGTCGCCGGGTAATTACCGCGGCAACAGAGAACAATGAGGTGAGCTAATTGATGCAGACAGATTCCAGCCTAAGCTTTCAGCAGAAACTGACTTCAGCTGTCTGTATGTGAGAGTGTGCGTGTGTGAGAGAGTGTGTGTGTGTGTGCGAGAGTGTATGTATGTGTGTGTGTGCAGAGAGTGTGTGTGTGTGCGAGAGAGAGAGTGTGTGTGTGCGAGGGAGAGTGTGTGTGTGAATAAGTGTGTTCGGATGTGTGCTGGATTTCATAATGTGCTTCCAACTTCTGATTCACTTGTGTATATCAATGTATGTATATGTATATCAATAAATGACTAAATAAAGCTGAAATAAAATGTAATATAAATATTAGATGAAAACCTTAACAAATATCTAACAAAAATTATAAATGTTTTCTAACTGTAATAAATAAGTTTAGTTGAATGTCAAAATTACTAAACATAAATAAAATCTTAAAAAAAAGCATACAAGCATATAACAAAATTACTAAAACTTTAACTGAAATTAAAATGAAAACTGAAAATATAAAAAATAAATGCTATTTAATTTATTATTAAAACTATTAAAAATTGTTTTTGGTAATTAAGCTGAAACAAAATCAAATGGAAATATTAGATGAAAAACTTAAATTCTAACAAAACTTATGTTTTCTAACTGAAATAAATGTTTAATTTGAAATACAAAAATTACTACAACTAAAACTGAAATAAAAATTGGAAATATAAAAATAAAATAATAAAAAAGCACATAAAATTAATAAAAGTAGAATGAATCTGAAAATATAAAAATCAAAGTGATTCAAAATATTAATTAAAACCATAAATATTATAAAAATTATACTAAAATAACTGATATATACACACACCATTTTTGTTGTATGCAATGCTGCTTTAGAATGAAACGAAAAGTCTCTTCTACTCACCAAGGCTGCATTTATTTGATCAAAAATATGAAATATTATTATAATTTAAAATAACTGTTTTCTATGTGAATATTTGCTCAAATGTAATTTATTGCTGTGATCAAAGCTGAATTTTCAGCATCATTACTCCAGTCTTCAGTGTCACATGATCTTCAGAAATCATTCTAATATGCTGATTTGCTGCTCAAGAAACATTTCTGATTATTATCAATGTTGAAAACAGTTGTGTTGACCAATATTTTTGTGGAACCGTGATACATTTTTATTTTTCAGGATTCACAGATGAACAGAAAGTTCAAAAGAACAAACATTAATGTGAGCATTTACATCTTACTGACCACAAACTTTTGAATGATAGTGTATGAATTAATTTAAATTTTAATTCTACTTTCATAAAAAGTGAAGTGTTTATCTTTTTCACTGGTAAAATACTATTTCACATATCAGTTTAATATGGATGGACAACTGTAAACAAGTCATTTGTAGGTTTCGGACTGGAAACCTGTCTGAAAACAGTCATTATCTATGAAATGATACACTGCACTTTTAAATTAGAATTTAAGAATTATGCTTCCTGTGTGCTTCCGAATTTCCTGTTTAAAAGTCCCTCTCAATTCAGCTCTGTTGTGGATGTAATAAACACATCCAAGCCAGACAGCGTCTCCCAAAGTCCTCTTCCTCTTAGAGATGAGTTAATGAGCATGAAAGGGTTGATGGGTTCCCTTCAGCCCTGGGTGGTATATCATCCCCCTCTCTAATTCTTCCTTTTCCCCCAGCATTCCTGCCACTCCAGGATACTCATTAGACAAAACATGCTTCCCTCCTTTCCCCCTGATTAGATTCAAATAAAGCGTTAAAAGACGAAAGCCCTGGCACACAAAGGAAAAGGAAGAGGCTCTGATCCTAATCGCTGAGGTGCGACCGCTGATCAGCCGGAGTTCAGGGAATCAGCGGCCAGATAGAATATCTCGCTCTTTTGAGGGCCTGAACACGGTGCGTGACTGAAGCAGCTTTGAATTTCCTCACTGATAACGGCTGCCAATTAGCATACGTCAACCGCCTACTGCCCAACTCAAGTGTTTATTTGGAAAAATGTGTCGTTTATGGTTCATCGCATTGGGCGGATTAACCCGGATTGTCGGCGCGCCGATTATAAAACCAATCTGGCCAATTTGACATTTCCACCCACAGGCAGAGGTGCATCGCTGCATGGATGTTGCGTTGGATCCTGACCAGATAAAGCTGTCTTTTCCATGCATATCTGACATTTGGTCGAGTTAAGCTTGTAAAGCCTGACATATAAAATAATGGTTCAAAAAATTTTTGTTTTTTTTAATGGAAAAGTTTATTGAACATTTAGACAAAATCCTCTCCCAAAAAATGTTGCATTTTTTTTTTTTGTGGCGTATCATATTGGATACATCAAGCTTTTATGGCTCATATAGTGAGAATATGGTGGTCATAATTGAGAAAAAACACTTAAACTGAGCATAAACATGTCATTTGTTGCAGATGTTGGTATTTATATGGTCAAAAAGTAAGATGAAATTCTGATGCTTGCGATGTTAATTTAATGAGATCTTTATAACAGTATAATAAAATACTTACATAAAATGCATATAAATTTCGATATATTTCCCAATAATATGTCTTAGTAAGATGATATTTAAATGCTTAGTTTTATGATCAAAGCTCTGTAGTTTCAAAATGTATAATGCAATTCAATACAATGATTGAGAGGTGAAAAAATTAACGTTCCTTAAAAGCCTGATTATCGTATTTGATACTCACATTTGAAAAAAATAAAAATTAAATAGCTTCAGTCCAGTAAATGTTCTTCTCGAAATATGACTAATAATATAAAAGTTATTCTTATATTTACTTTATAAAGATTATTAAAGATTTCACAGCAAAAAGTATAAAACATGAGCTGAAGTATACAAAAAATATAATTGTTTTACTTGCTAAATAGTATAAACTCAGAAGAAAAATGTGAAATATTATTACAATTTAAAATAGCTGTGTTCTATGTGAATACATTGTAAACTGTAATTTATTCCGCTGTGATCAAAGCTGAATTTTCAGCATCATTACTCCAGTCTTCAGTGTCACATGATCTTCAGAAATCATTCTAATATGCTGATTTGCTGCTCAAGAAACATTTCTGATTATTATCAATGTTGAAAACAGTTGTGTTGACCAATATTTTTGTGGAACCGTGATACATTTTTATTTTTCAGGATTCACAGATGAATAGAAAGTTAAATAAACAGCATTTATTTGAAATAGAAATCTTTTAAAACATTATAAATGTCTTTACTGTCACTTTTGATCAATTTAATGCATCCTTGCTGAATAAAAGTATTAATATCTTTACTTCTAGAAGCTGATCAAAATAAGGTAAAAAAATCTGAAATATTATTAT